GAGAAGAAGAAAAGGCATATCTTAGATAAATATTTTTATTATTAAGGCTACTAAATATTTTTTTTAATAACCTTATGAAAAAAATTTGAAAGACAAATGATATGAACCGGTAATATGTTATCAACAACAACAACAATCAAATATAATTTTACAAGTGGGATTTGGGGAGGATAGTATGTACGCAGACCTTATCCCTACCCCGTGGGATAGAGAGGTTGTTTCCGATAGACCCTCGGCACAAGAAGATGAAAAGAGACAATAGAACAGTAATAGCAAGAGGACAAAAAGATACAAAAACAACAACAATAACAACAACAACAATCCAGTAGAATTCCACTAGTGGGGTCTGGGAAGGGTACATAGGATGTACGCAGACCTTAACCCTACCCGAAGGGATAGAGAGACAAAGAGGCCAAAAAGATAGAGTTAGAAAAATATCACTAACAATGGCAAGGTCATAATATGTTATCATATTTTTTTATCCGGTATATGATATCTGCATTAGAGTCCCACAAAATCCGGACTAGCGCATTGTCAAACGCTCTCTGACAAAGCCGATTTCATACTCTGGGCTCAAACCTCAGCCCGGATAATAGTATATTAATACTCCCTCCGGTCCAAAATAAGTAATTTTTTGGCCTTTTTTTGTGGTCCAAAATAAGTGGTTTTTTCAGATTTCAAGAATGAATTAATTATTTTTTTCCTACATTGCCCTTGGGGTAAATAGTGTTGGAGTATGTGTTAGGAGTATTTATGTGAAGAGATAGTAAAGGTTTATATGGTCAATTTTGTTACTAATTAATGTTAAAAATAAATTTCTTAATCCGTATGAAAACCGCTAAAAAATTACTTATTTTGGACCGGAGGGAGTACCATTTTTATGACTCAAACATAACATGGTTTGTTTAAAGTTACGACACTTAGAGAATTGTTCCTCATCTGCTTGTTTTCTTTCTTTTTTTGGCCTTTTGATCAGCCACTTTACTAAAGTATTCTTCCAGCGATTTTATGCGTTAAAAAAGCAAATCAAGATCTGGCTGTGATGCTCTCATTCGAATATGTACTCTTTCTCTTTAGGGTTGTCATCACAAACTAGTATTCTCAAAAACAACTAAAATATTCATCCATTATACCAATATTATAAATTAATTAATCACTCCATATTCTTTTGGAAGGAAACCTTAATCTTGATTGGGTGATTAAAAAGAAAAAAGGTATAAATTGTTGGCACTCACTTGTTTGTCAGACATATGGGAAAAATAAAGTAGCTTCTTAATTGAGTACGAGTATATATTTACTAGTTAATTAATAATAGTATTTTTTTTAAAGGCTGACATCAGATTTTAGTGGCTGCAAATTGAGTCCTAATTAAACTATTTCAAGTGGTAATTGAATTCAATTTATTACTGCAAGTGTAGATTTATTTTTTCAGAAACTGCAATGACAAGAGGTGGAGTCGGGATTTGAACTATATAGATTCTAAATTCTAGGATACGACATCACGTGTTAGTAATTAATTCTGAATTTAACTTCTTCTTTTTTTTACATATTTAATGAATCTCTTAATACAAATATAAGGTTTGAATTAAAGTTACTGAATTAGCTAACCTTCTAGCTCCGCTCAGGGGCGGATCCAGTGCGTTAGTTACGGGTTCTCGTGAACCCAGTGACTTTTATCTAGATCTTATATTTGTATTGCAAAAATAATTAACAACTTGTTTGGATGATTGTTATATATCGTTTCATAATGTATGGTATTGTATTGTATTGTATCATTTGATATATACAATGTTTGGATAGATTGTATTATTTGTCGTCGTTTTATGATGCCATGGACCAACAATATGAAAAATTAACTTGCAATATTATAATGAAAAAGTGAGATAAGAGGCATAATTATTATATAAAAAGGTATGATAAAGAATAAAATAGAATTATTTAATAATATAGAAAGGCAAGATAAGAAGAAGAAAAAATAAGGTAACGACGCGATCACACCAAATCGATCGTTATATAAAGTGGCACTTTTGTTCGTTACGTAATGACGGATTTAACGATACAATATAATAAAATTTAAGTAACAATCAAAAAAATATTGTATTTAAAGTCACAATACGATACAGTACAATAGGTAACAACTATTCAAACAAGTTTTAAATATATAAGAATATTTAGCTTGGAACTCAGTCCGTTAATCTAGTTATTATTGTATATTAACTTGAAATTTCTATAGGAACCCAAAAACTTAAAATCACGGATCCGCTCTAGCATGACAAACCAACAGATTCTATTAGATTTCCTTTCTTATTCTTCTTTTCTTCAACGGTTTCTTTAAAATACTATTCATGTTCTGAAATTAACATGCAATATGTTAAAGTTATGATTTATGAATGGCTAGCTGGCAGCTTTTTCTTCTTGAGAAATCAAAAAATCCCTTTTCTTTTTCTTCTCGATCTTTCCCCAAAATTTTTGCAGTTGGGACTTCAACTTGGGATCAGATTTTACGTTATTTTTCTCTCTCTCTCCTCGTTTTAGTGGGGGAGCAGTGTGGGGAGACATTATGGACAGGATTGAAAAGGAGTTAATCTCTGCAACTTTTGCATTGTCCAAGCGCCATGCACATTCTACATAAAGTTAAGAAAATAAGTCTACCCTTTTAATTTACGTCAAATCAATTAATACATGACATATTCTGTTATATTCATTTTAGTACTTAACTATTGTTAATTTTAATACGTATTTTTACCCCAATTTAACAAACCTGAGCAATTCAGCTGGCGGATACACTTTCTGGCAAGCGGTGTCATGTAACACTGTTTCGCCGAAATTTTTATTACATATGTATATATAGATAGTATACAAAATAAAAATATTAGGTATAAATATAAAGAAATGATACCGCTTTTCATAATAATAATTTTATTTTTTCAAATTTTTACACTGCTTGTCAAAAATCCACCATGCAAATTAATGTGAATTGACACACACATATATATTTGAGTCCACGGGGTGGAATCCGTAACAGAAAAAGCACTTCTGTCGATTGGCGAATGCGTAGAAATGTTGAAGGGTTGATTTGAAACGGAAAGTTTTTTTTTATGGAGCAAAAGGATTAGCAATAATATTAATTAAAGTGTGTGAGGATCTAATACATTCTAATTTAAGATATCTTTCGGATAAACTATTGTACTCTTTCAGTATGAAATATCACTTTAATTTTTCAAAGTCGAAAAGAAAAAACATAATGGCGTTTAGGATATGAATGGTCTCTAACTAATTATTTCTTGTTCAATTTTACTGCTTTTTACTGGCCATTTGAGTTTTAGACCTTTGTTTAGAGTCGTCAACCTACAAACAGTTCCCTACTAAAACAAATTAGGTAACATTCTCTAAACTTCCACTCGAAAAGTTAAGTTGACAAATTATGTTCCGTCAATTTATTAACCAATGAAGTCCTTCATGATTTGTTACTGTTAGACAGTAAAATATTGTAATGGCGAAATGGCTTCGTGGCCACTTAAACTTGCTTTCATTTGTAAAGTCGATACACGAACTTACATCGTTCTCATTTGAATACTCAAACTTACATATTTGGTAAGTAATAAACCTATTTGACCGTTGACCATGCATATGTGGCAGTGACACAGGTGATGTGGACAAAGTGTGTGCAAGTCACGTAAACTAAGCACGTGACTACGATAATTTTGATTAAAAAATGTAAAATCAGAAGAAAAAAAATTACAAATGAAAAAGAAAAAAATAAGCCCCATTTAANTCCCCCCACCCCACCCCCCTTTTCTTTTCTTTCTCCCCCACTCCAATCTTTCCCTGCTTCTTCCTCTTTTTGTTCCAAAGCCCAGTAGTAGTGAAAAACAATAGATTTTGTCAAAAAGAAATTGTCGATCCTTTCTTTCACATTAACTCCCTCTCCCCTTTTTGTGTCGATCTCAAATTGGAAGATAGCAAGAGAAAAGAGAAAGACTATCGAAAAATTGTCGAATTTTGGTTGAAAAATTCTACGTATGCAATCCGACTTCTTCTCTCTTTCTGATTTCACCATTCGTATCCTTTTTTGACATAGCTTCGCCGGCTCTTTAGTTGCCTTGACGGAATTTTAGTAGGCGACTCATCGACTCTTTGACTTGGGGTATGGATTTTGTGAATTCTGATAGAAGTGAAAGATGGAATGAATTTTATGGAAGTTCATAGCTGATTGAGTCAGTCAAGTGACGGTTGTGATTTTTTTCCGATGGCAGTGCTAAAATGTTAGAAGAAATAGTGAAAGAAGTAAAATAAGAAGAGAAATTTTGATAAATTAGCTTTTAAAAAAGGGACTCACAGATGGCACATGTAAAATAATAAATGGTCTTAACATTTGACGTGTTCTTCTTTCAGGCAATTGAGTTACACGCAGGTTTATTTATACTCAATCAGCCGGTTTATTTATACTCAATTGATTGAGTTGAGGTGCTAAAATGCAAAAATCCAAAGTTTAAATATCGGCTTTAAAATCTCTTACAAATTTAAGTGACCACGAAGTCATTTTTCGCCTATTGTAATTTAGCTTAGGTATTCTTCATTAAGGTATTGTAAAGAGGAAAGAAGTTACGTACTGCTGATCCTTGAAAAAGTTTCTCATGAAGGAACAGGTACTTGGCAGAAATATGACAATTGTAATTGAAATTTTTTGCAAAAAAAAACGTACTATATGCTTTGGTGAAGTTAGAAAACATACACTTGAAAATGGGCACACGCATGAATTTTTTTAAGTGATGTCGAAATTTATAGAAGAACTGAAATATAACTTTAATTATCATACTTTTAGACAAGAAATAACATTAGTGTATTGGTTTTGTTGAGCCTTAAGTTAGAAAATGTCTTGAGTTCAATTCTATTTCTATCACAATTTTTAACCACAAAGGCTCTCTCAAATATTTACAAAATAAAAATGTGCTAGCTGAGGTTTAAACCTTTGACCTCTTAGAGCAAAATCATGCACATAACCAACACACCAAGACACAATTTATATCAAGTGGTATCATTTTTCCTACTAATCCGTTTCCGTACAGTATTAATAAATATATTTAGTAAAATTTTCCGACAAGCGGTGCCGCGGTAAGCGTGCATCTGCCCCTGTTAATACATGAAAAATCAATCTCCAACTTCTTACCAAGAGCATGACAGCCAGGTATAAATTGGAGCTGGTAACTGAGTAAAACTTCAGGGCAGTTAATGGAAAAAAGATCTATCGAGTCTTCCCCGTTCTCTATTGAAACATCAGAAGCAAGAATGAACGGAAATGGAGAGAGTATAATTAGGCATTGCTAGCAGCTCACTTCTTGACTAATTTCAGAACGTCACCCACGAGATGTAAAGAACCTGTCACCAGGACCTATATAAACAAGAGAAACATTAACTAGCATATATATCTCTTTTCTACAATTTGTAAGATTTTCTTGCACGCATACTGGAAAGTGAAAACCATTTAAAGGGCAGTCTGGTGCACTAAGCTCCCGTTATGCGCGGGGTCTGGGGAAGGACCGGACCACAAAGGTCTATCGTACGCAGCCTTACCCTGCATTTCTGCAAGAGGCTGTTTCCACGGCTCGAACCTCTGACCTCCTGGTCATATGGCAGCAACTTTACCAATTACGCCAAGGTTCCCCTTCAAAGTGAAAACCATTTCTAGAAAGAAAATCTAAGCAATTACTGCTTTCTATATAATATGATAATAATAACACGAAACTGTTATGCAACAAGGACTTCAATAAGAGTATATTCCCTGAAAATCCTATTTGTCTATTAGTACTTAATTAGCCACAAAATGACCAAATTTGACTTGCATGATTTTTATTTTTCAGAGAAGAAATAGACAAGATGATTGATAAGTGTCAAATGAGGGAACATCAATGACCGACATGCAGTGGCGGAGCCACATTCAACCAAGGGGTGTCAATCAACACCCCTTCGCCAGAAGATAACTTTTTTTTTTAATCTATATTTACTATACGTTGACTCTCCTTAACTTTTTGGTATATCTAATTTTTTATATTTCGACACCCCTGGGTGAAAATTCTGGCTCCACCACTGCCTACATGCTCTACATTTTCATTCATATAAATAGACAACGGGGAAAAATTAACAATAGTAAAGTGAATCTAATGATGGTATTTCGTGTTACGCAAGTGTTACATAGAAAAGTGAACATTACTTACCAAAGACGACGAAAAGTGAAAATTAAATTTTGGATGGAGGTCGGAGGGAATGGTAATTGATTCTAATAGAACTTCTAGTTCAAGTATGCCATTCTCTCGTATCAATAAAATTGATTTCCTCTAATTCTTGGTCAGACAAAAGTTATTCCATTGATTTGGCATTACCTGGTAGCGACCAGATCGGTTTTTGCGAACAGTGTCCCTCAGCCAATTTATTGCTATTGGGAGTGAAGGAAACACTTTGCTGTTCTCACAACTTCGAGCTCCTTTTTCCGCATCATCTGTTACTTCTTCGTATATTTGGTCTGTATTCTTCACATCATTTCCTGCAACTAAATAGACTCAGTTAAATGCAGAATTTATCTTTTAGCAGTCAATTATGCTTCTGTTTCAAGTAAAGTGTTTTCTGCGTACACACTACCCTCCCCAGACCCCACTAGTGGGATTTTACTGGGTTGTTGTTGTTGTTGTTCAAGTGAAGTGTTTGAAAGCCATTAACTCCAATCATAAAAACAATCTCCACAGTCCACACACGTGTGGCAGTATTTGGATCTTCTATATCGATAAATACAATGATAACAGACACGTCGAACAACAGTTATATCTAAGTGATGCCAGTACGCTATATAATTTAGCATACATAAGCATACAGAAAGGTTAATCACCCTATTAGTTCCTTAGAGGTCCACTAAAACAAAAATAAAAGGGAAAAAAGAGCATATAAGCAGCTTGTTGCTCAGTATGACCCCCTAAACCACATTTCTCTAACTGAATCAGTAATATTAACCTCATCATACTTGGTGAGATATAACGGGATTATGTTTTTTTAACTGTTAGCAGAACTATTATTCACTGTCCTGCAAGATTCGGACAGTATAGTTGGACATATGACAGAAAATGACTTCCATGACTTGTGTAAACAACATTTAAAAGTGAAGCACCCATAATTGATGAGAATAAGGTAAGTGTTCTCGTTAAACATTAAAACATATCTAGTGGTTGAGGTGCATTTCCTAGGAGGTGATGAAGTATTAGACATGGTAAAAGTATGCAAAAAAGGAAAAAGCCAAAACATTAGGAATTTTTCCAAGTAAATTTAAAAGCTGGTAATCACTAACTGACTTGTGTTAGCTAAATGCAAGATACTTCCTTTGTAGCCCACTCTCAGTAAGTAACAAGTATGATAGTTAAATTTCAAGAGACTAAAAATATATGAAATATGTCAAACTTATAGTGCTTCCTAATGTACCAGCAATAACCAACCTAAGATGATCACTAATGAAACTTCCATTTTAACCAACTTGGTCTATCTTTTTCTTTCAACTTTGTATATTTTATAGAAAGAGTATATTCAACCTTTTACAATAAATAGAAAGTAACAAAACTGTTGGAACTAATCAAAAAAACTACAATGAATCAGATAGATGCACATCATACTGAAAAGAACTGTATCTTGAATATAAAAATGCGTGCAAATTCTCTACTAATATTAAAGGATTCTTCCAAAAATTATTATCAAGTCTCACAAATATTAATCATAGTTGAAACAAAATTAGTTCCATGATATTTGTTAATGAAGAGAAAATATTAGCTTTCAAAATATTAACTACTAATAAAAATGTTGACTATAGTTTACTATGATTTCTAACCTTTTTCCCCATGAACAAGGTTTTCCCATATTCTTTGTAGAGTCAACTGCCATGAGAGATCAACTTGAGTATCAGTTGGCATTGAGGTACCCACCTTGTAATATACTGATACGTTAGGTACAAAGAGTGCTTTCTGGAAGTGTACTCCTGAAATATTAGACTCAATGTCAAACTCCTAAACTACATAAGAAGTTGCAAAGAAAACATTAAGCTCACTGGGCTATAGTATCATTATCATTCAGCATTAAATGACCAGAAGATTTCAAGAACTTTATCTTTGTTAGTTATCTAAAGGAATACATGGAAGATTGATTGCTTCCAAGTAATTACCATGATTAGCACACGCCCTCATCAGTCTTGGAAGAAGTAGTTGAGGATCCCTCACCGACATACAGTTGAAGAGTAAGAACTGCACGATTGCATCATTTCAGATTTAGCAGCGCAAAAAATAATAACAGTATATAATCAGCATTTCAGGAAAATAAAACAAAGGGCGACTGAGTGTAGAATAATATCCTTCCTATATGTACTTACTCTCTGGTTATTAATATAAAAAGTAAATGCATAGCTTAAACAACCCCCCCCCCCC